TATTCAAACCACCACACCAGGGGACATTTTGGAAGAGGCCATAAATGCGTTTTATTAGATTGGGAAGGTGACGGTATGAATGTTGTGTTAAAATCTAGCCTCTGTTTGGGTCACAATATCTGCAGCAGTCCCTTCTCTCGCTTCCACAGACAACAACAGGCATCCTACGTGTTCTGTGAGCCCCGAAATAACAGACAAGCCAGTGTCGAGATCTCTCACCTAGAAAGTCAGACTGTATCAGAGCAACCCATCCTGCTCTCCACACCCGTGCATGCCTCTGTCTGGGAACCAGTGTGGTGTGACAGCTCTTGCAGTGAAAGCCATCCCCATCGCCAAGGCTGTAAGAAGGGACTCCCTCCTTTGGCACATGGACTCTCCCTTCAGAGCCCTGACTGTGCCGTCTATCTCTGTTGTTGGGGCCTGAACCATCCTCAGAATCTGCTCTGTGCTGTGGCCTTTCTGTTTGCCTGTCCATGGCTAGTAAAAGCTCTTCTAATATACCCTTATTCCCCAGTCATCTACCTCTGTATCCTCTTGAACCCACCCCCATTCAAAACCTACAGTTACCTGATGGAGGTTGTCCTTCTATATATATGTTTCTCTTATTGGTTGATGAATAAAACACCGATTGGCAAATGAGGCAGGAAAATAGGTGGACAAGGAGAATTTTGGGAAAGGTAGGTAGAGAAAACCCGCCAGAGGGAGACGACATGTAGCTGCCAAAGGAGTTAGAGGCCCGGACCCTTCTCCAGTAAGATAAGACCACCTAGAAATACTTAGATTAACAGAAACGGGTTAATAATTAAGACAGAGCTAGCCAATAAGAAGCCCTAGTCATCGGCCAGCTATTTTATAATTAATATAAGTTTTTTTGTGTGCTCATTTGGGGCTGACAAGGGCAGGGGACTAGGCCAGCAGGGACAAAGAACCTCTCTTTACAATTACCTACAAAGGAACTACAGTTAAATGAAAGCAGGCTTCTTCCCAGCAGCAAAATGGGGTAAAATAGCAGAGAACCAGCCTTCAGTGAGTAAACAATACTCTTGTGTGATCTGTCTACACAAAAATTTACTAGGTGAAAGATAAAATCCAGGTTCCAGGTCCCCCCCCCCCATGCTACTGGAATCAGGATGTGTGGCACATGTGTGTGACAGTCATTTTAACATGCCCCACTGCAAACCTGACACACTTTCCACTCTATGAACCCTGGGTATGTTGGACTCAAGGCTCCCTCACTGGTGAAACAAAGTCGCACCCTACATAGCTTCATGGCCCTAAAATGTTTGTCCCTTAGCGTCTAAGACATGTAACTCTCAGCTTCAGAAAAGAGCACAGTGATTGTATGTCTCCTCTGTCCTCCCAATGAAGCGTCTTGCCTTAACAGGTGTGTTGGAATGGGGTTGGCACCAGCTTGGATGATGTCTTGGTTGGGGCTTCTATTGCTGTGAAGAGACACCATGACCACAGCAACTCTTATAAAGGAAAACTTTTAACTGGGCTGGCTTATGGTTCAGAGGTTTAGTCCATTACCAGTTTGGTGGGAAGCGTGAAGGGCCAAAGGCAGACATGGTTCTGGAGAGGTAGCTGAGAGCTCTACATCTGGAGTGTCAGGCATTGGGAAGAGCAAGGGAGACGCTGGGCCTGGCTTGAGCTTCTGAAACCCCAAAGGCCTCCCTCAACAAGGCCACACCTACTCCAACCAGGCCATACTTCATAATAGTGCCACTCCTATGGGCCTATGAAGGCCATTTTCATCCAAACCATCACAAATGAGGACTGCCACATGGACCTCCCAGAGCATCCGTGTAGAACAACGCACTGTTCAGAGGAAGCTGGACCAAGTGCTGAGTGGACTTTGAGAGGCAACGGAACCAGAAGCAGGAGAGCTTTCCTCCGTGCTTCCAACAGCTCCTCCACCCCACCTTGGAATATGATGAAAATGGCGAGGCATTTGCAAAGCAGAAGCCACGGAGAACAGGGACTTTTCCTTCAACCTTACACTGTCACCAGCAGCCAAATATTACCAAAGGAAAGGAGTAGGGTGGTGTGGAAGAGACAGACAGAAAGACAGAAAGAATAAGAATATGTTATGGGGAGATATTCACCATCTCTTTCATGGAGTGCAACGCTACCTTCTCCCAAGTCCTCAGGGGCCCAAGAGAAAACAGAAAAAAAAAAAACAAAACAAAACAAAACAGAGAGCTGTCATGTGGTTTTAATGTTTTTTCATGTTTCACCAACTTGTAGAGTACTAGGGAAGCAGATTTTGCCAGAATTGGTATTTTTCAACATGGTGAATTATCCTCAGAGTAGATGTGGTAAGCCTGGACATTTCCTGTCCCTGGGAGGTGTTTCTGCTGAGATTGGACATCCTAGAGGCAAAGTCTTTTCAGTGGAGGCTGTAAAAAACATGTGTCTAGCCTAGTGTTGATGGCCTACACCCTTAATCCTATCCTTGAGAGGCAGAGGCAGGCAGATCTCTGTGAGTTCAAGGTCAGAAAAGAAAAGGAAGGAAAGAAGGGAGGGAGGCAGGGAGGGAGGGAGGAAGGGATGGAGGGAGGAAGAAAATGTGTCTAGTGGCATTGCAGCTTCCTCCAAAGCTCTGGGATGAGATAACCCAGGAGGCACGCATGGTCTGCACATGATAAGACTCCTTGGGAAGTTGTCGAGGACCATACAGACAAAGAACAGTGATAGAGTAGAAAGAAAACAACCAGCACTTTGTCACACCCCTTCACAACAACCACCACGGTAACAGCTGCACTAACTCCCTTTTCCACTCACTAACACATGCCTGTTGAGTATCCCATGTGGACCAGACACTACGGGAAGATGGTGGCTGAGGCCACCAAGGAACACCATGGGTACCATCCATGGCCATGGTATGACCTCCCACCAACAAGCAGTCAACTAGACAAGTGAAGGCTGTATGTGACAACCACGCTAGATGGTGTCTCGGCTGTGTCACTGAGAGAGAATCCCACGTGTGATAGGGTCAGGGACTTGAAAACACTGTGAATAAGTGTGATGGAAGAGAAAAGCCAGAGAGAGCATCCCCCAGCTAAGTCGGAACTCATTCCTGGCCTGAGGCCTGATGAAGACTGGACCTTGTTCCCAGGGCAACTTGTGAAGGCAGGAAAAGGAGCAGACAAAGTGGCCCAAAACTGCTACTCTGTGACATGGGAGCCGGGCTGCGCCCGATGTGACAGGGCCTCTGAGATCAGGAGCCTGACACTAGATTATGCCAAGGAATGAATGACAGTTGCAGATTGCAAAAGGGAACGTGCCTTTAGAGTTTGTGTTGTCTGCCCTGCCCAGTAGGACTGTGAGAAACACAGGCCAAGACCGTCATCCCGCACTGACCTCCATCACTCTACACCCAGCAGGACCTGTCATTGGAGACAAAGTTAGACTAGCCTATGAGCTACTTGCTGACCAGCTGGCCTTGGGGTTTGGGGCCGTGAGCAGATACCCCTGGACAGAGATCCCATTTCCAGCCTCACTGAGAGTTTTGCCAGCTCCCACAGCCTGACCCCTGACCATGGTCATGTCCTCCGGGAAAGACCGAAGATTACAGTCCAAGAGATATGAAGCATGCTTCCAGGACCTGGAGCCGTGTGCATGTATTTGGGATAACTGCAAAAGGAAAAGGGGAGGAGGTTGGGGGAAATAAACTTTGTATAGCTTTTTCTGGGTCTGACTGTAACACAGAAAATAAAAGACCCAGAGACAGATACTGGGGTTCAATCTTAAAAATGAAGATCAGAGAAGCAAAGCAGCCAAGCCAAACTGAAATTGTACTCCTGTCTCCACGAGCTCTCCTCAAGCCTCTGCTGCTTCTCCTCAACGTGGCTGGAGACTCAATCTCCACATGAGGCTCTTTGCTTTTTATATGTCACTAATGCTGGGATTAAAGGCGTGTGATCCCAGGTGCTGTGTGAGCTGTTTCTCTTTAGGACTGGATCAATTTTCTGTAGCTCATTGAGGCTTGAACTAACAATGATCTGTCTGCCTCTACCTCCCAAGTGGTGGGATTAAAGCTGTGTGCCACCACTGCCTGGCTTCTATAGCTAACTAGTGTGGCTGGTTTTGCCTTCTGCACCCTCAGGCAAGCTTTAATAACTCATAAACAATACGTCACCACATTTGACCTTTCGCAGGTCAATCGGTAATCATCGTCGTCATTGTCACAAATGGTTAGAGGATCATACATGTTTTTACCCATGTTTAAAAACTATATTAAGAAGGTTGGTAAGGTGTTCCAGGTGGTAAAGGTGACTGACAAGCCTGAGTTTGATTCCTGGAACACACCCAAGATGGGGAAAGAAAAACAACTCCCACAGTTGTCCTGTGACCTCTGCATGTGAGTCCTCTCTCTCTCTCTCTCTCTCTCTCTCTCTCTCTCTCTCTCTCTCTCTCTCTCTCTCTCCTTCCCTCCCCCACCCCGTCACACAAATACACACACACACACACACACACACACACACACACACACCCCATATCAGCCTACACACATGGCTCCAAATTTACACCTAAATCAGGAAAAGCAAGGCAGTGTTTCTTGAGTCCCTGTAAGTCAGACTTGGCACGGATATAGTAAAAGACCTGAGGAGAACAACTTAGCTGGGGTTGTTATTTTAGCTCACTGTTCAGAGCAGTTCAGGCCTTGGGGCTGTATTATTTTCTGGGCCTGGTGTGTGACAGAACACGGTGGTAGTAGGAGCCTGTGACAGACAGGAAGCAGCCAGGGAGAATCTACCCCCACAAGAATCCATAGCTTCCCAAAATAGCACCACCAGCTGAGGACAAGTGTTCAAACACAGGTTGGCCTGTGGGGGGGCATTTCAGAGTCAAACAAAGCCCCAGCATGAAGGGCATCTGCCCCTCCTTCACACCAGTGACGGCTTTGGAAGGAGTCCCCAAGCTGCAGGAGTACTAGCAAGAGGTCTTCCTCCCGAGTCCTCTCTCTGACATCTCTTTGGTTTGTGTCATCTCTCTAGGGCACCTGGTCTGAACTTATGCACTGACAAAGAGGATGCTCTGTCTTTGAAGAAAGAGGAAAGCCCCGCCCCAGAGGCTTCGGGCCATCTCACCAGCGACTCTGAGCGGAAGTGCCTCAGTGGCCTGTGCCTGGAGACCCTCCCAGAGGCCCGCTGGGAATTGTTCATAGTGCCAAAGTCCTACCACTGCGTTTTCAATGGGTCCCTGTACATAGTGCCCGCCTCTGACCCGGCCCCGCCTCTTGCTATACTGGAACCGATTTATACAATGTGGGAATTTTGTTACCTTTTTAATCGAGGGCAACTTCCTTTTCCAGCACTTCCCACAGTAAGGTGTTTGCTTTTTTTTTCCCCCTCCCCCAGGAAGGAGGGCTAACCACATTGCTATTCTCTTTTTTCTTTTCACTTTATTGATGAGGGGGAGGGAGCATTAGTACTCGTGCTACTGTATCTACTGGATTTTAGGTAGGAAGAATTACTTTTTCTTTTCTTTTTTTTTTTTTTTTAGGTAGTTCGGCATTTGGGAGATGTCTTTGTGGGAAGGGCTGAGGTTGGTCCTCTGGCTCAATATGGAATGGGTTCACAAACAGCAGGCCTTCCGAGTCAAGCCCATCCCCTGTTCCCGCAGCTGCCTTTTGGGGACCCTACCCCTAGCGTTTTGTCAAGAGATGGGTGCGGCTTCTCAACTGCCTGAATAATTGGGGAGCAGGTGGCTGCCCTCTTTACAGATCTTTCTGAAATACCAGCAGAAAGGGCTCCCCACTTGATGCTGCCGTCTTTATGCTTGGGAAATTAGAGGAGAGTGGTCTTTCTGCCCAGCCCGTACAAAGGTGAACATCTCTGGGCGTCTCTGCTTTTCCTCGCTGCCTTTTCTTGGTGTGGCACTGACAAGATTTCAGCTCGAAGCCTCACTAGGAATCGATTCTTTTTTGTCCGTGTGTGTGTGTGTGTGTGTGTGTGTGTGTGTGTGTGTGTGTGTTTGGGCCAATTTTAGATACCTGAGTGCACTTTTTATTTTTAATTAGTCCTAACTTTTAAAGAAGGAAAGCCAAGAGATAGATCTCGTATAAATGTCTTCACATGGATTCTGTTTGCTGTCCTTGTCCCCTTCCCCACTCCCCAGCCCCTTGCCCTACCCCCCCACTGCCGGCCCCCTTGAGTACAATGCACAAATAAAACGCTAGGGAGTTTGAATAACAGCGGTTTTTCCAACTTGTTGCTCATTTGTTTTAATTCAATAAAGCAAAGACTAAACGTTTTTATAACCTTCCCTCTGTTCCTTGCTCTTCATTGTCGCCTGGCTCCTGAGCCTGTACTCCTGACTTCGTCACCTCCCACTGCCAACTCACGATGGCCTTATTTTTTAGGGTTTTTTTTTTTAAGTGTGTGTATGCATGTGTGTATATGTGTTAAAAGTCATGAGACAAAAATAATCCCTTTGGTTTATATCCCTGTGACCAAAACCCTAGTCTAGTCATGGCAGCACTTGGCAGTGAGGAACGCTGAACAGCCAAGTCAGACAATCAACCGCAAGACGTTTGGACGCACCTGACCTCGAGTCCTCCTCCCTTCCTAGCTCAATGAACCACCGCCGGCTACTTTTCATTGCATCTGGTTTAATCCGAGGATCGTGACCAATGTCATGCTGAACTTAGAATTTATTTGAGACTCTCCAAGGTCAAAGCCTATTCTTGTCCACTGTGTAAAGTGTCTCTAGAAGATCACCCAGCCCATCAGTCTCTGCCGTGTTCACATTTGCGTTGCTGTTATTACTGGGGCGTCCTCCGACAAGAGATGAACCACCCCAGAGATGGTTTCAGGGAACAGCGTCTGCTTTAGTGCACATGCGCAACCACTCATGTAGTGGAAGCCTGCCGGCTGTGATTGGTTGGCAGGTTACCTAGTGAACAGTGACCCCTCTATGCGGAAGACACGGAAGACTCATCAGGCAGCTGCCCCTCCTAGAGCCACTTCGGAATCCCGTGTTCTGACTTAAGGAGCGTGGGTGTCAAGCTTCTTGTTTAGAAATACAATGTGCCAGACAGGCTGGCCGCCAGATCATGCCTGCAAAATGCCTCCTGCGTGTGGTGACAAGTCAAGCTTGGTGAGGCCAGAGGCTCTGGGGCTCATAAGAGGGAAGGTTCTTGAGAGCCTTGAGAACTCTTGAGAGTAGCACACCTAAGGAGGGGTCCCTCTGAATGTGCAATCTGGAACAATCTAGAATGTCGGCAATCTAGAACAGGCACTACAGGCTCACTCCAGCCACCAGGAGGGGAACCAAGGCTGGCCTGGGAGCATCTTTCTTCTTCCTGAATTCTAGGGCTGTAAACGGTGGGGGAGAGGTGGTTGTGAGGCTTAAGGGCATGCACAGCGTGCTCTGTAGGTCAAGATGCCTCGAGTCAGCTCTCTATTTTGCTACAGTCTGAGTTGTTGTTCTATTCATATGATAAAGCACCATGACCAAGGCAACTTGTAACAACATTTAAGAGGTGGGAGGGGATGAAATGAGAGGGAGAGAAGGAGAGAGAGAGAGAGAGAGAAAGAGAGAGAGATTCAGCATCAGCAGCCACAGCTGACTCATTCTGGTCCCTATACAGTCTTTTCTCCCTGCATTCCCAGCACCTGGCCCTCATCATCCCCATGCTGTCCTGTCCTTCCCATTAACGAATGTCCCCAGCTGTCTCCACAGGTGGCTGCACTTCCCTCCTGCTATTTACCACCCTCGCAGTTAGGCTTGCCACTCCGGAGCAATTTAAACGAATTCTTCAAGCAAGTCAGTGGGAGCTACCATCAAATGCCTAACTGGAGAAACCAAAGGGAAAGGCCCCGATGACAGGCAGGAATGAAAAACACAGAAGATGGCCGTGTCCTTTTAACCACCCAGCGAAATGGTGTCAAGCTGGGTTTCTCCAGGGGGAATGATTGAAGCATGGCGGACCTAGAAGAGAGATTCAGCTGGGCAGGCAAGGTTCATGAGGCTGCAGAATAGAGCAGCAGGTAGAGCAGCCAGCTGCTGGGTCCATCCATCGCAACCATGGACCCTTTGCATGCCTAGCACTTCCTTCAAGGAGTTTTTCTCTTCACCCTCTCTTGAGGGTGGGGGCTGCCCATCCTGGGCACTCACCTTCCCCAGGCAGGGGAGAGCCATTACACTAGTGCATCTAGACAGGTACAGGGACACACATAAAACCCACTCTGGACCAGTCAGGTTCTGGTAGAAAGAGCTGCGTTTTCCTGTTGTGTTCTCCTGTGTAGATGGTATTATAACTGAATGTGCGAGAACACACCACAAGATATATAACAAAACCCACTTAAGAGTTTTCTTAGTCGAGAATAGGGAGAGAGGGTGTGCACGGGTCTGTCTGGAAGAAACGTGGAGAGAGTTAGGAGGGTTGGGCATCCGAACTGGGGGAGGGAGAGGACTTATGTAGCCAACCCACGCATACTTTATGTGGCCACACTGCGCATGCACACAAGTCCCTGGAATGATGTCTAGGCAGTTTGCCTGAATGTTGAAGGCGCATGCGGGGCCAACCTCAGAAATACCAGTACCTGGGATGACCAGTACCTGAATGTTGAGGGCCACATGGATGGCCGTGGGACCTCAGAAATGACAACAGTGAGTGTGATAATGGTTCTGAGACTGTCTCTAGAGATGTGGACAAATATCCATGCACCCAAGCTAAGGCACCAACAACAGACCCAAACGATCGGTCCCTCCCAAAGTCAGCTTGACAAACCAATAAGTTTACTAGAAGTCGCTTACAGGAGTGGGATTAACTCAGGCATATTTATCACCTAGCATGGGTGATGACTCATCACAAATGCTGGGTTGCTGGAGCTCTCTGTGCAGCTTGAGGATGGCATTTGCTTACTGCTTTTTCTACCTGGAGGGGAGCCTCACCTCCTGAGCCTTGCAAGTTTCCTGAGACTTATAAGCCTCCCTCCTCTCTGTCCCCCTCCCCACTCCTTGCTCCCTCTTCCCCATAGGAGGGAACACACTTTGACCCAGAGGAGACAGCCGTGCTGGCCTCCAGAGGTCAGAGGTCTGGCCAGGAGAGGAAGCCTGTGTACAAGTAAAAACTACGAGGGGCCCAGAAGGTCAAAAAGGGCCTGTCATCAGGAAGGGATCATGATAAATGGTGGCCGTGGCATCATTTGAGTCCCTGAAGTCTGACGTTCTGAGACCATATCCCTGTCCTTCCGTTGTTATAAAACCAACACCTTTCCCCTGTTGACATGAGCTAAACAAACAAACTCAGGAGTTGGGTTGTTGTTGCTAAAAGTTCCAAGTTCTAATGGGTTGATCAGATTACAAGGAAAATAAAACACATGTAAAGTGTATATCTATTGGGATAGAGCTAGTGGCTGGATGATGCAAGGCCGTGTGGCCAACACTCACATGTGGTCCCTAGATCACCAGCAGCAGCAATTGGACAGGGTGCCCGGGTGATTGGCAAGTTCACTAATGGTGAAGAAATGACACTGAAGACATTGGATAGCCACCCCCACCTCCTCCAACACTCATGTGGGTGAGTGGCAAATCCAATTGCATATCACCCACCTTCAGAGTGTAGACCAATGGCCTGGAGAGGAGAGAAGCAGACGGATGCGAAGGATATATTGAGCGTGACCCAACAGGCATGAGCACACTTATCTGTCTAACACACTTGCACAACCACTTCCAACCACAGCCTTGGGGAACGACAGCTCTCAGAGGCCTGGCAATACAATCTGGACTGAACCAGGAGTGCTATCCACTCCTCCCTCTGATGATACTGGAGAGCTCCCCATCTAAAACACCTCACAGCAGAACACACGTATGAACCTCCTCGGACACCATCGTGTGCTTGATCGCGTTCCAGAAGGCGTATGAGTCAAATATCCCAGAGTGGAAGAAGCACTCGAGTCCCTCTCGACTGTGAAGAACTTAAACTCTAGCAAGAGAAAATAAGTTTTCCATCAGCCGTTCTAAACCTTGCTCCCACAAGTACCTCAAGTGTTAGACTCTTGTCCACATCTTTCCTGGAAAGATGTGGAACTTAGATTGCATTGCCTGGGTCATTTATTCCAAGTGCTGTTTACAGAGGTGTAGGTAGCGAGTTAAGGGCAACCACTGCCAGAGGCTTGAAAAGGCGTGGACAGCTGGACTGAGTAGGCTACTGAAAGGACATATAGCATAAGTCATGGTGACCCCGGGGGGAAAGAGTCCAGGGAATAAATATTCAGAAACTACCCTCTTCTCTTCTGCCTCCAAATAGCCAACCCCAAGCAGAAACCAAGCACAAAAGTACGTGTTGCTCAAATCCTTCATCCAATGGTCCAGGAAACAGGTCAGTCAACAGTATAGACTCAGGATAGCAAATACACACCAACCTTGCTGTTCTGCCACATCCCACTCTTGAAGTAAACAGTAATGACTCAACTCAACCTTCATAATACTTAAGATGGTGCCATGCTTCACAGTACTGAAGATAGTGCCCAATCGTGAATCTGACCTTAGGGTGTGAGATGAAACCCGGCAGTGGGTGCCACTGACTGCCTGGCTAACAGTTACTCCCTCTCTCTTTGTCATCCAGTTTTGAAATTGTGTGCACATGTATGTGCAGGCGTGTCTGCCTCTGTGTGTCTGTGTGCATATACATGCACATAGGCCAGAGGTCTACATCAGATGTTTTCCTCTCTCGTTCTTCACCTTGATTTCCAAGACAGACTCTCTCACAGAATCTGGACCTCACTACTTCAGCTGGACCAACCGCCTAGCAGGTGGCCAGCTCCTGCGTGGTTCTGCGGCCCCATCACCCCGCCCCACCCCCCTCCCCATCCCGCCAACCAAACAAATACATTTCTCAGGCGAGGAGCTTACCTGACTTCCCAACTTTTCTTGCAGCTAAGGTAGCTACTAGACGTGGCCAGAAGACCTCTGTATAGCTCGTACCATTAACCCTCCTCCTTTCCTGCCTTGTACAAGTTACTGATCCTGAGACAGGTCCGTGGCCCGCTGACTGAATCCATGCCACACTTGCCAATTGCCTGCTTACAAAGTTCTTTTTTTCTTTTTTTCATTTTTTATTTTTTGATTTCATTTTACATTCCAACCACAGTTCTCCCTCTCACCCCTCCTCCCATCCCCCCTTGACACCTCCCCCCTCCCTCACCTCCACCCCAACCCACCCCAGTCCACTTCTCCCCACGGGAAAGGGCTCCCATGAGGAGTCAACATAGTCTGGTACAATAGGTATGTGTGAGAAAAGTAAAGCTCTATGTATT